ATTTTATATATAAAATATATGGTACACAATGCTGTTTACAAACATATCAACTTCACTAAATGCTTATTTGAAAAGGATTTGTTAAAGCGTTAAACAGTTGTGATTCTTAATTTTTTTGTTTATTTGACTATAGCCTACACAACGATGTGCAAATCTTATCGAAATATAATAAGGAAATGAAACATAGAAAACTAAGAGCCGAGTTGTCGCCATTTTGTTGAAATCGATCATGTAGTGAGGACCGTCGCAAATCGTGACGCTCGACGCACACAGTTATGAGAAATGACAATAAAATCATCAGTGAGAGGTCATTAGAGAGAGCCTTAGCCTCTTCAAAATGACAACATAAATGACATTTCGCCTAGGAGCCCCAGTCAACATGTTCCGTAATTCTTGAGATTCGCTAAACAACTCTTGAAGACCTGAACGCAACCCCGTCATCATCTTTTTTTGCTTGTAAGTAATTTAATGTATAATTTCAGTATATACTGCTCATGCGACACTTTCAGTGTCCATATTTCAGCGATGGTCTTTACAAATTCTTGACACTAATGAAACAGGAAGAGTTTTATCAATCAGAGAAACCATAATTACACCTAGTGCCGCTTTGATACACCATTATTTTAACTTCGTGCACTGTTACGCATATAGTTAAATGAAATGTCATTCAAATCGACAATTGTCGTTGTAAAGTCGTTCGTAATCTCGATCATAATAAAATCTCTCAAAATCATAATCTTCATTGATAGACGACTACAGAGCTAAACAATTTATATCGACGATTTTAACGGCTTTTGTGTCACTCATTTACGCCAAGCGTTTAGAAATGCTTCATCGCACGACTTGTAGAAAAGGTATTTGGTTCAATGACAACTGGATAATTCATGTTTCCAGCCACCCATTTTCATTGTCATTATGGTTTTCGGGTCCAGGGGATAGATCCCATCCCTCTGTCTTCTTCAACCAATGTGATAATACATTTGTCAAGTTAAAACTTCCCTCCAGTGTTTTCTACGATTCCAGGCACCAGTTCGATCGAATACTATGACATGCATAACATCGTATTGAGTGGATTGACACGGGTTGGTGAGTATAGGTAATGCGATGTGGTGTATGTTATAGCGTAGCTGTATATTAATATGAGAATGAACATATATTACTCTGATGTATCCACAATCATGTGTAGTTCCCCAGCTATTATTATTTTTGTATAAAAAACGTGTTATTATTGCAGTTTGCTTGGAGCAATATGGATGACCGACTGTATGTATTATTAGCACGTCATTGAAACTTTAAGCTAGCATTTAATATGACCTTTTCCAGGGGATGTGGTTTATACGCTCATAGCGAAATATGTCGATGATGATTGTATCAATGTTTTTGTTGGCGAGGGGAGAGACTATTTCGCACGGGCGTCCAGCAACTGTACACATATACACGTAAATCTCATTAAAAAGTTGGATTACAAAGTCAGTCAAAACAGTTTAGGTAAAACAAAATAGTGTAAATGAACAGACCACACGCTCAACTGCATAGTTTGGTTAAATGCAACACGAAATTATCTGATGTGACAAAATATTGTAATTAAGGTTGCTTGAAAATCTTCCATTTTAGAGTACAAATACGAATAATTGCTACGATCGCTGGACTGACGTGGCAGGCTTTTATATTAAGTCATCTTCGTTCTTAGTTCAGGACATGATTTCATATATTGTTTGTGCTTTGTACGAGGTCGTTGACGTACACACTGCGATATTGGACACAATGTACACAATTCTTGCTTAACCGTCCAACTATTTCCGTCGGAACTCGACAAAAAAAGTAACAAAATAAAATCCTTTGTTACTGTTAATGTGTACTTTTAATACAAATGGAAGGAAATTTGTCTGAGGCTACTCTTCCAATATTTCCTAAATTTGTTAAAGGTAAACGCTTTGCATGCCGTGACATTATATCTGTATGACGGTCACAGCGTGCCGGTAAGGAGTACATTATTCTTATAATTCTGAAACATGTCTGGATCTCTATAATATAATAAATATAAACTAATTTATATCACACATCTTTACACTCGTTGAAACTTTACAAAAATACTAACAAGAAAATAAAGCGTAATAAAAAAAAACAAAAATATGCTAAAAACACAATTTAAACAAACACATAAAGATGACAGACTGCCCCATTTATGCGAACACAAAACATGCGCGATATATACTGGACAATCTAGTCATTTACTTGGCAATCTAGGGGGCCATACTTATCAGCTATCATGTGAGAACGTTGGTGGCGTGCACCGTAATGCAAATGAAAGAGGAAACGTAATGCACTAAGAGGAGTAACAACAACTTGATTATATTTGTGCATATCAGTGAAGAATGATGAAACTCAACTTCCTATTTTTTTGTTTGCTGTCGATCATGTATACCGTTGCAATTGCAGGTATGAATGAAATCACTATTCAATTAAATACCCTGTATTTTATACAATTTAAGGCGCAAATGTCATTGCTCGATATCACACGTTGAAATTAGCAAACATACTCGAGTTAAATTCAAAGTTATGTCGTCAATGTTAAAGAATACTACACATTTAATCCATGTACTCTTTTGTCCTTAGTACGTGAGCACAAAAACGGCTGGGCAGTGAGGAACAGATATTATACTGATAGTGGAAGTCAACAAACATTCGTTGATAAGAATTTGGTCTTTAACCGATCAGGTCAGTGCCCTCCAACGTGTTTACTCACGTAAAAGGACGTTTAGTTTGATGTGATGCTGACATTCTTACTTACAAATCCGAGATCATAGCAAATATTCGTAAAATACGCTAAATTCATTGAGTTTCTACTGTATATTGCAGTCAATATTGGTTAAAGCGGGGGAGGTCGTCACCTGCGCATGCGTCAGATGGACATAGCCTGTCATTGTTTACAAACAAGCGTCAACCCATGAGCCTTGCGTTTTTGGCGTGTGTTGTTATCATCGCTTGGGACTCAATTCCCGCGCGTGCATAGGTCAGATAGGTGACGACCCTCCCGCTTTAATATTTTTTCTGGATCATCAAGGACACAGAAATACACAGAACACGAAGTATCCGATTAACTTATCATGTTATTCAATTTATTTCCCTTAACGTGTATTTTAATACTTAAGAAAGCCATGAAATGTGAGTGTTAGATTTTACTCACTCTAAGTATATCACTGTTTGTAGGAATAATAAACAAATGGAGATTCTACAGTAGAAAAGCAGGAATCATAAATCTTCAAGTATGGCGCCCTGAATCTGAAAATGGATGTAGAATGACGCTTGTTAACCAGACGACCGTTGACGTCGATGACAATTTCGGGCGATTGCAAATCGTATGTATTTTCTCTTAAACCAATTTGCATCGTCAAGGTTGTTGATTTTTATTAAATCGCACAAAATTATACTATGTTTTGTTTGAAGATAACTTTGCCAGAGGATCAAAGAATCAGAGTTAAAAAGGGCGATTTGATTGGATGGAATAATCCTGGTATTGGCGTGATAACTTGGAATACCGATTGGTCATCAAATGACCAGCACCACTGCTTTAAATGGGGACTCAAACCTGAGATTAATCATGTTTATGATCTAAACCATGATATTACGTGGGGACCTTCTAGAGTATACTCAATAATGGCGATATTCACAGGTAAGAATATTTGAACGATTGTCAGTAAAGCGACTGCAATTTGGAGTTGCAATATAACTCATTCAGTCGTTATGAAAGAAATTGACAAAC